CAGTTACATCAACAGATACAGATCTGTCACCTACCAGTACACTGCCCAAAAGGGATTATGCCAGACCATGGCAAAGCTTCAGGTCTTCCCTGTGAGTAGAGACCTATCTACTTGAGCCATTACCTCTTGCCTCAGTAGACAGGCAGGTAGGAGGCTGGAATCAGGAGAGGATCTGGAAATGCCCATTTCCTTCAATTCTGAAATTGTTTGGCCAGATATGTAACTCGTTTGGAAGATGTTTGTTTGTTTGTTTTATTTTAGCACACTGAATATATTATCCCACTTCATTCTACCTTGCAAGGTTTCTGCTGAAAAATCTTATAATCTAATAGGAGCTCCCTTGTAAATGTCGTTACTTTTGATACTATCAAGGTTGTCTCAATATCTGGTAATTTTCTTTAGATTTATTTATTTAATTATTTTCATTAGTTTTACTTATTTGAAAGGCAGAGTTATACAGTGATAGGAAAGGGGTGTGGGGGGGGGGGGGAGAGGGAGAATCTTCCATCTATTGGTTCACTCTTCCAGGTGGAGGCAAGGACAGGGTTTTTTTAGGATGAAGCCAGGAGCCAGGAACTTCTTTTGGGTCTCCTATATGGGTAAAGGGGCCCAAGGACTCAGGACATCCTCTGCTGCTTTCCAAGGTGCATTAGCAGGCAACTGGATTGGAAGTGAAGCAGCCAGGACTTGAACTGGCACCCATATAGGATGCTGGCATTGCAGGCAGCTGTTTTACCCATTAGGCCTCAACACTGACCCCTATATATTTATTTAAAGTCAGAATTACAGAGAGGAGAGAGGAGAGAGCAGAGAAAAGAGAGAGGAGAGAGAGAATCTGCTATATGTTGGTTCACTTCCCAGATGACAAAAACAGACCAGGCCAAAGCCAGAAGTAAGGACTTTCATTAAGTCTACAATGAGGGCACAGGAACCCAAACACATGGACCATCTTATATGCTGCCTTTTTCCCATCACTAGTGAACTGGATCAGAAGTGGAGAACCTAGGACCCCAACTGGCAACAACATGGGATAAGTGTCACAGGCCGTCCCTTTACCTGCTACACCACAACGCCAGCCCTATATCTGTTACTTGGAGCAGATGGATTATTACGGTATCTAGTGTAGGTTCTTTTGTATTTCCTAGTTTTCTTTGAGTGTCTTGAATTTCATGCTCTATTTTTGGGAAAATTTCAGAAACTATTTCTATAAATACTTTCCAAATAATCAAACATAACACTTGAATGCTATTGCCTTTCAGGAGTGGGAACCATTTTTCTCTGGCAAGGGCCATTTGATATTTATATCATTCATGAGCCACACAAAATTATCAACTTAGAAAAATTAGCCTGCTATAGATTTATTGAATTTTGAGTTCCACCTGAGGTTGCCTTGGCAGAGCCAGACCACACAGGCCTCGTATGGCCTATGGACCAGCATTTAACACCACTGCATAATCAGGATTTTACTGATTCTGTTCAATTACCAGCAACAGGAACCAGAGCCATTAAGACTAGATTGAAACAAAGAGTTCTTGTATTATTCTGTGACAGCCGCCTTAGATTTTACACCTTACATGCTTTAATGACCTCACACTAGTTCAGTGCTAGAAAAAGGCATAAATGGAAACTAACCACATGGAAGTAAGAATTTTATATACTACATACTGCAACAAAAAATTTTTTTCAGGTGCCTAGTTTCCCTCTTGATTTCACAGCCCCATATTTTGTTGGTTTGTTCTATAGAACAAGTATCAACTCAAATTTCATGTAGTTTAGATGAAATCCCATTCCTATTTCAAGTGAAATATTCAACCTACATTTAGCCAGTTTAATAGCACCAAATCTCTCTAGTTAAAGGAAAAATAGAATTTATTGTTTAAAGTAATTGAAAATTTTGAATAGTAGGGTAGCTGTTAGGGCTTCTGCATGAGGCTCAAATTATCAGTATTACTCTAACTCCATAATGGCTCTTAGGCTCATATATAATGGCCATGGGCTATCAACAGGATTACTGCCAGGAAAATTTTGCTAACAGCTCCAGACTTACTCTACCAAATAGAAAGAAAAACAAAGATTATTGTATAAGCCCCAGGAAATTCATCTAATTCAACCTACTTGGACCATAGTTTTAACTTATGTTGGGGATGTTTGTATATTACTCACAGAGATGTTAAATTTTAGATATCTAAGTTCTTAAACTTATCAAGTAGTTCAAAGCTCCAAGTGAAGCAAGAAAGCAATAGGAGTGCTAGATATCTCAGTGAAAATCAAGGTGGAAGGATGACTGAAGTTTGGTCTAGACCTCAGAATTTTCATATAACCAGAATGAGGTAGACTGATGCTACAGTTTGGAAACGACTTGACTCTGTCTTCCAAATTTTCACGCATCAGAAATGTGGTTCTCAGTGCAGTGGTTCTGAGGTGGTGGGATTTTTATGAGGTGATGCCTCGTTCAAGATGATTCGATCATGGAGGAGGTCATTATCCTCAGAAAGGATTAAATTAAGTTCTTATGGGACTCCAGTTTCACAAGTAAGACTGGTCCCTTGTTCACTGGCTTCCTGTATCACCATCTGATTAATCCCTCTTGCCATGTGTTCCTGACATTGTGATGCCATCCATCTCATGGCCCTCACCAGAACAGAGCAGTGGCCAGCATCATGGTTTTGGACATTCAGAACTGTAAGTCAAATAAATGATATTTTGTTATAGCAACAGAAAATGGACTGAAACCGTTATGAACCAGAATGAAAAGCCAACATTTCGGAAGTTACAATCTATCAGACTTGTATTCAGTATGTTATATTCATCAAATCCACAGCCTTAAGGTATGTTATATTATTCCCAAGTAAATAAGACAGAGTAGGTTAAGAATTTGCACAAAGCTATAGACCAGCTATAAACATAAGGTCTGAATTTAAGACCCATACTCCTAAAAATACTACAGTATACAGTTTCTCAGTCAACTATTTAGAATGAATTTCCTGTTACAAAACTGGGATGGGAACTTGAGTTTTAAGTTATTAAAAATACTATTTCTTGCATATCTGGAAGATCTACATGCTTTAAGGAGTAACTTATTTCCCTTTTGGCATACTACCCGTCTGAAGTCTTTATAATTTCAAAATCCATTTAGACAATCCTTTCAATACTCTCAATTTTTTTTTTAAAGATTTATTTATTCACTTGATAAAGTCAGAATTACACACACACACACACACACACACACACAGAGAGAGAGAGAGAGAGAGAGAGAGAGAGAGGTCTTTCATCCGGTGGTTCAATCCCAAGTTGGCCGCAATGGCCAGAGCTGCACTGATCCAACAGGAGCCATCAGCTTCCGGGTCTCTAACCCACGTGTGGGGGCCCAAGGACTTGGGTCTTCTATTGCCATAGCAGAGAGCTGGATTGGAAGTGGAGCAGCTGGGACTCAAACCAGCATCCATATGGGATGCCGGCAGTACAGGTGGCAGCTTTGCCCACTATGCCACAGCATCGGCCCCCATGTCAATTTCTTGAATTTAATTCTTTCCATCATTCTGCCTCTAGCCTATCCTCATCTTCATATCCTAGATTTTATCCAATATAATCAAATTTCAGCCATCTTTTTATTTCAATCTCCCAATTTTCTATTTTCTACCTCTAGTAAAGAATTCCAAGACATCTTCAACTGTACTGCAACCCACAATTGATTATACTATTTGTCACTGTAACTCAACTTGTATTTTCTCAATTAGTTCCTTACTCAGATTACTTTCCCCTCATCTTCAATCCATCACTTCCTATTTCACTGAAAAAACACTTTACATGTTTCTGATAGATACTGAACTACAAACATTCAGATCCACATTATCCATCTTTCATTATATTGCTATTAATGATATTTTCATGATTACTTTAGAAACCTTGTATTTGTGAACCAGATCTATGGCTCTAGCAATCTCTCTCATTCCTGGATGTTTTTTTCTCTAATGAACTAGTCCTATTAACATATAAATTTGTCATATCTTTAGTCTTTAAAAAAAAAATTCTTCTGATACTGTATTACCTTCCATTTATAATCAATTTCTCTATTCCCCTTGAAAGCAAAGTTTCTAGAAAATGAATTGTCCTCAATTTTTATTAAATTCCTCTCTACAATTCTCATGAATACCACTTTTCACTCTTTCCATTCATTAAATAAGCTTGCCAAGGGAAAGGCCTCAAATGTTGCCAAACCCAATGATCAATCTTGACAGCTTATTTTTGATTCATCAGTAAGGTTAATATATTTGATCATCCCTTCCTGTTTGGGATGTTTTATTTGATTTTTAGCTGTTCTTCAGTCTGTCTTAATTGTTTCTTACCTACTTGATACCTCAACATTAGCATGTTACAAGATTCATTTCCTTATGCTTCTAATTATCATCTTTAATTCTTTAATGTTCTTACTCTCTGCACTTCACAACACTTTTAAGTAAAAGGGAAAAAACTGATTCATGAAAGCATTTTTACATGTCTTGAGTCCCAGGCAGTAGCTCTAAATTGAAGCTATTATTGTATACTCATAGGAAAGTTATCAAGAAGATAAAAAAAAATCTTATATTGAGCTGATATTAATTTCACTAATGAAATAGTAATTTCATATGAGAAATATTTTCAAACTTAAATAATACTTTGATAGAGGATAGATTTATGGAAGATTAAATTACAATACACAAATTTCCGGAAACAAGACAAATCCCTCACTACCAAAAGGAAAATAAACAAAAAGCAAAAATCTCACAAAACCATTTAAACAAAAGTACTTCTAAACCAGTTACAATAAGTAAGATTATTATTAAAAGTAAAAAGGAACAAAAACAGTATAAATTCATTGCATTCAGGTTAAGAATGAAAAATGGTAATATTTATAAACAGAAAAGGAAATTCACATTATAGAATTACCCTAAGAAATTTTATAATTATCAAGTTACATTTTTCAATATGTATAAAAGGAAAGGAAAAAATTACAAACACCATTTTATTGGAATGAAAATAATTTATTATATATAAGGCAACTTGTTAAAGCACATATATCTCTAATAAACTGATTTAAATGCGTATAGATTTAATTTTTAAACACATTTGCAAAGCTTGTTACGCACAGTTCCATAGTCCAACTGGTAAATTTCTTCTCAAAGTTGAAAAGCACTTGAAAGATACGGAATTCAAAAGGAACCTAAAACATCATAAAAAGTCAATTAAAAAAATAATCACAAATGTAACTGTTAACTGTTCACTAGTTTAAAAGTAAATGCTAAAACATTTGCACTTAGAAAATTAGTGAATCATGTCAAAATATCCAAATTTAATTAACAGTCATATATAAATTTATTTATACCATAAAAATAAAATATTTTTCATTGTGCCTATAGAAAAAATGAACAATTGCAATTTCAATATCTACTCTCAATACACTCTTAGAGTGATAATGATTATTAATAAACTGAGTTCTTATGGTAATAATGATTATATACAGGATTCTGAGTAGTTTTCATAGTACTTTACGAAAGAATTCTGAAGAAATATATAGGTCCCAACTCTTTACTGTTATACTTATAGAAGGCTGGATGGCTAGGTTGATATTAGTACCTCACAATTTCACTCTAAGAAAACAGGATTCAAAATGGTCAGTCCCCACAATTACTCAAACTAGATCCTTAGATACCTCCATTTCCAGATATTCTGACTTATTAGTTCTAAGATAAAGCCTAGGAATCCTTATGCAGAAAAACGTTTCTTTGGTAGATTTTTAACCTTGGATGCATATTACATTCACTATGAAAAATCTGAAAAATGCCAACAGCCATATTACAGTATAAGCAATTAAGTCAAAATCTGAAGGGGAATCAGACATCAATATATATTTTTTCTTTTAATCAGTATTTTATTTTTTTAAAGTTTCCAGGTCATTCCAATGTGCAGCCAAGATTGAGAATCACTATTCTGGGTAATTCTGGTCATCTAACATTTTAGAAACTTCTTTCTTCATATACCTACCAGAAGTGTTTCTCTAACGGGGCTACCTTGAATCAACATTGTCTTTTCCCCTCTGTTATAATTTTCTTATTGTCTCTTTTTTTTGTTTAGAAAAAATGGTGAGAAGAAAAATACTTCTAATTAGTGTATGTGTCAAAGGAGATTTCAATAATAAACTTCAGAACTGACATGTAATACTCTCACTTGGAATTAATGTAGAGATTCAGTTGTTTTAAATTTCAAATTATGTCTGAATTCTATAAAGCACCTAAACTGAATATTAACATAAACTAGAAAGCAGATGTTTCTGAATTATATTTAGGCAATACACAAATAGAAGAAACAAGATCATGGTTAAAGTAAATGCATATTCTCAAAGTAAGTTGACCTGATTCACTAACTTTCTCTGGAAAAATTATACAAACTAAAGGACATCAGAAATTCAACAGTAAATCTAAGAAAAATAAAAAACTTGTTCAATCTACATAGTTTTTCAAATATTTCATTTGAATAAAGTATAAAAAATTATTACTTAACCTAGGTCAATAGGTAGGTAGAAGAGGGACAAAACAATTCTAGAGAAAAAAAAAAAAAGCACTGCCCCAAAAAGGATACCACAAGAAAGGATACACTTTGTATGACAGTATTACAGCAGTATTAACGCAGGAATGCTTCGAAAGAAGAACAGCAGAATGTAGTTTAATTTTTTCTTAGTTTTCATCATTAGATTACAAATAAATGATTTTCTTAAATAAAAAACTGAAATTATTTAATTTTTCCTCTAAAGTAAGATTTTTGACTACACCTGTATAACAGAAAACAAATATTCAAGGCATCTCATGGAGGAACTAAACATTAAGCATACTTTTCTCTTAATTATATGACTTTTTTCTCAGCTGAAGACTTACTTCATGTTCCTCCAGTTTAAAAGACAGATTTAAAGTTGAAAAGGTGCATTTCCAAAATTTTCAAATCAAATAGTGCAACACAAACTTTTAGAATTTAAAATGCTTAATTCTGCCACTTTTAATCATTAAATTATTTAAGACATTCAACTTCACAAAAACGTATTTTATGAAGTGTGTTTTTATATTCTCAGTACTACAGAATCCTAACAGCTAGATAGCTTAGCTTTAAGTGTTTTTCTCAGAAGCTTTCCAAGTGTGGTCCTTGGACCAGTTACCTCACTATCACCAGAGAATTCAAGTTAGGCATATTCTTTGGTATAACTAAGGGTGACCAGCTTGTCCTGGCTTATCAGTTACCTTGCTCATTTTATCACTGAAAGCCATGAACCCTGGCAAATCTCTCAGTCACAGGAAAATGGACAATTGGTCATCTGAGGCTCCATCTAAGATGTATTCAACTAAAAACTTTTGCGGGCATATGTGCAGGGAGACTAGTAATCTGTGTTTTATAAAAATGTCCATTATAATACATGTTAAAGTTTAAGTAATAATGTTTTATTCTAGACAGGAAAAGAAAACAGAGTAACAGATGCATTCCTGTTATAAAATTCATTCTTCAAACTTAATTTTTATATACAAATGGACTTTATTATAATTTTGAAATTCAGTGGGAATTAATGGCATAGACAAGATATATCCTAAAAAAATCTTGAGATATCAAAATTACTAAGCTATTAGGCTTTTATTTTTAATTTTAATTCTGGAAATAGTCTTTTTTTTTTTTTTTTTTTTTTTTACATTTTATCTTTAACTTACCTTTACTGATTTTTAACATTTCCTTTTTCCTTCTTTAGAATCTTGTTTTGGTCTAGCAGATCGAGCAAACTGCTAATATTTTAATATTAAGGTTTCATCACAAGAATCTTTTCCAAATAATTATCAAGCACTATCTTTGGTTTAACAATTAAGACATCCATATTCCATATCAGAGTATCTAGGCTTGATTCCTGGCCCTGCTCTTGACTCTAGTTTCCTGCTAATGCAGATCCAGGGAGTCAATAGATGATGGCTCAGGTTGGCTCTTTTTACTTAAATGTGAGACTAGACTGAGTTCCTAGCTATTGGCTTTGGCCCAGGCCACTGCAGGCATTTGGGAAGTGAACCAGCATAAGGAAACTTTCTATATCTCCATCTCTCTAATAAATAAAAAGATAAAAAAACAAAAAACAAAAACACTTTTAATATAGTATGAGTACCACTGTTTTTTTAACTTACCATGACTGTCTACTATTTGCTGTCTATGATTTATAAGAGAAATAAAAAATTAACCTTTTGTTTAGAGTCACTATTTTTTAGACCTAGACATTTTTTTCTCCTGCTGCTTTCTGGCTTGCAAATTACATTAATTACTAAAAGCAATATGGTTAATCACTAATACATTCTGGCTATTGAAATTCTCATGTAGGAGTGGCCTTTGAATGGGGGGGGAGGAGTGGCAGTGAACATTTTTTGTGTAGTGGATAAGCTGCTGGTTAAGATGCCCATATTCTATATTAGAGCATCAAGGTTCAAGTCCCTACTCTATTCCCGATTTCAGCTTCAAGCTAATGTACACACTGGGAGGCAGCAGCTTTGGCTCAAGCACTTGGATCCCTGCCACCCAAGTGGGAGGCCTGTACTAGCTTCTTGGATTCTGGCTTCAGGCTTCAACCTGGCCCCAACCCAATCTGTGGGCATTTGGGGACTGAGCTAGCAAATAATGCTCTCATTTCTCTGCCTCCCAAATAAATGAATAAAAATTTAAAAGGAGTGGGGAGGTACAGTATTTGGCACCTAATGCCTGGTGCCTGCATCCCACATTAGAGTACCTGCATTGGGGCCCAGCTCCACTGCCAATTTCAGTTTCCTGCTAATGCGAATCCTAAGAGGCAGCAATGCTGGCTGAAGTAGTTGGATCCCTGATACCGACGAGGGAAACCTGGACTGAGTTATTGGTTCCCAGCTTCAAACTGGCTTATCTGGAACCATTGCAGGCATTTGAAGAAAGAACCAGCAGCAGGTGGGATGGGAGCGGTCATTCAACAAAAAACAAAAAACAAACAAACAAAAAAACACTTCAAAGTATTTGTGTAAATCACAATATGAATAATAACGTTAAAATGAATTACTGTTTAATGACTCTAAATGTATTTCTAGATATTCTCTTCAGGTACTCTTCTAGGCTTAGCTTTAAGTATCAACTTTTGAGCTGAATAATCAAACATTTAGACTTGGCTAGAATTTAGTAACCTCAAAAAAGTTGAAATTCCTGTATATTGAATTAAAATCTAATTAACAAAGTTATATGACTCAGCTAAGGCATGTTTAAGTACAACTACCCAAGTTAGAATTTCAGTTAGATGTTAGAAGGACAACATGATTTTAGTTTCAGTTATACACTTCTTCTAAAAATTAAAGTTCTGTAACAGATTGATTTAAAGGATACAACCACCATGGGTTTTCCAAAAAGAACATATCCATTAGCTTCCTTTAAGGCTTTTGCTGCTGCTTTCTCATTTGGAAGTCCAATGAAAGCTTGACCTTTCATGCGACCTTCTTTCATTAACCGTATATCAAACCTACAAGTCAAGGAAAAAAATTAGTTTTGATTCAAAGAATGGCATAAAATTATGATGATGTGAATAAAAATGTGAACATAAATTTTGCTATTTCAAAGTAAAAATGACTATACTATTTATTACAAGATTAATTAGGTCTTCTAAAGTTGGATTTTATATTACAGTGTACAAACATACTGTGAGTCTGATGGTAGGCTTTTATCTATTTTTTAACTAATAAAAATGTACTTCCATGATTTAAAAATTATATTGCTGGCAACTATATAACCATTCTCCTTTTTATTTCTTATGTTTATTTTTTTTGAAAGTTTCATTTTTGTTCAGATGACTATAAGGAAAAAACAAAACATACATTCAAGAACACAAAGGATAACAGGAACCAATTATAAACAATTACAGAATTGCAGTGTAGAAAGGGACCTTACTGCTCATCTGGTCAAAATCATCATTTTACAAGTGATATTTACAGACATTCAATGACTCTCCAAAGTGCACAGATAAAATCTGAGACAGAAACACAAACCAGATTTTTTTAAAATCCAATATGGTGTTTTATTATTTTACAATATAGTCATTTTCAACACTTTTTTAGACAATTATATCCAAAAGACACTTAGAAAATTAGAAAATTTTCAGATTAGTATTTGTTATAGGCATAAAAGAAAAAGAACAAGACCTAGCATTTTACATAGCTAGCAAAAGAAATCTTGATATCCTGATGAGAACAGAGTATCTGCCAATAATGAATGTAAATGCAGAATTACAACACAGTGCCAACTGTGCATAACTATCACTTCTCTATTTTAGCCTCCACTCAAAAATCTCATTTTTTTCTATTCTAATTTCCTTTTAATTTTTCTTCTAACTTCAAATATTAATTTTTATCTCATTTATAAACCTCACTCCAGACTCTCTTTTCCACAAAAGGAGCTTTAATGTTTAATGACTGAGAGTCTTCCTTTAGGATTAACAAGGGGCTGGTGCTGTGGCACAGTGGGTAAAACCGCCACCTGCGGTACTGACAACCCATATGGTCACCAGTTCAAGTCCCAGCTGCCCCACTTCTGATCCAGCTCTCTGCTATGGCCTGGCAAAGCAGCAGAATACGGCTCAAGTCCTTGGACCCCTGCACCCATGTGGGAGGACCAGAGGAAGCTCCTGGCTCCTGGCTGTGGATCAGCGGAGCTCTAGTTGTTGCAGCCATCTGGGGAGTGAACAGAATGGAGCAGCAGAATGGAAGATTCTCTCTCTCTCTCTGCCTCTCCTTCTCTGTGTAACTCTGACTTCCAAATAAAATAAATAAATTTTTAAAAAAAATACAGAATTAACAAATACGAGTTTTAAAGAAGGAAATTCTAACTTCAAATATTATTTTTTATCTCATTTATAAACCTCATTCCAGACTTTTTTTTTTTTTTTTTTTCACAAAACGAGCTTTCATGTTTAATGCAGTCTGATTAAAAGACAAAAATGTATTGCCAGAGTTAGAATCTAAAATATTCTGCCAAGTGCTGGCATTGTGTCATAAAGGGTCAAGCTACCACCTGAAACATCTTTATTCCACATGGGAAGGGTTTGTGTCCCAACTGCTCCACTTCTGATCTGCCTACTAATGGACTGAGGAAAGCAGCAGAAGATGGTCCAAGTGTTTGGGGCCCTGCCAAACAAGCGGGAGACCAGGATGAAGCTCCTATCTCCTAGCTCCTAGCACTGGCCTGGTGCAAGCTCGGACACTGTGGCCATCTGGGGAATAACCCAGCGAGAAAGAACTTTCTCTCTCTGTCTGCCCCCATCTCTCTGTAACACTTTCAAATAAATAAGTAAATAAATCTTTAAAAAATAAACAAATGAAATAAAATATTTTGCCTGTAGATATATTCTTAGGCAGATCATTAAAACAATGGTTTTCAAATTGTATTCTCTGGGCTAGCAACTTTAACATCATCCAAAACCTTTATAACAAATGCAAAGGAAAACCAGACACTCTGGGTATGGGCCTACAAAACTGTTTGCCAAGTTCTCCAGTGGATTCTTACACAATATTCAAGTTTGAGAACCAATGCTTTGGAGACAGGGGCTGAAGCCAAAATTTATCATGTGTCTATCTCTATGAAGATTTATTAGAATACAGACATGAATATTCATTTACGTATTGTTTATGGTTCTTTTCACTCTACAATGATAAAACAGTAGTTCTAACACTGCATGGTCTACAATAAAATAAAAATATTAAATTTTTGTTATCTACTCTTTATAGTAGAAATGTACAACTCTATCAGATTACTTATACAATGGAATAAATGAATTTTTCATATAAATTGTATCTCCAAAGAGAAAATCATGGGGTAAGAAAAAAAAAGGTAATTTTAACAGATAAAAACAAAACATGGATGATTAGGGAGAAACTACCAAAATTAGAGGGACACAGTGGACCTACATGGAGGCATAGGACACCCACAAATCGAGACTCCAGAAGCCAAGAGCCTACGTACCAGTGTTGAAAAGTGAGGTGAGACTGGACTGCAGCAGCCCAAGCCACTGGGAAAAAAGCTGCAGGAAGAGCCTAGAGGAAACCAGGCTTGGAACCTCAGTGGGGGCAGTGTACCAGCCAAACTAGAGGAAAAAAAAGAAGAAAAAAAAAAAAGAAAGAAAAAAAAAAAAAGAGGGGATAGACACATTTCTCTCTCCCCAGTCACTTTACAATGGTGTACTATAACAAGATGAAAGAGCAGGCACCATTTTGGACATATGTAACAGCTATGCCAATTCGTGTCTGTGCCAGCAACCAGCTTAGTGGAGACTCCTGACTCTGGTGGGGAGAACTAACAGGGAGCCAAGAGCTTGTGACTCTGTTTATCAAACCTGGTATGTGTCACTTAGGCACACCCTTAACCATGGAGAACTGAACAGAGCTCCTTGGCCATACCCACTACAAGCCTCTAGATATTCATTGAAAGCAGACATTCCATTTATCTATAGAGTCATAGTACAAAGATAAAAGCTGCCGCAGCAAAAAAAAAAAAAAAAAAAAAACCAAGTACCTCCACAAATGCAAACAACAATGTACCAATTCAAAAAAACAAGAATAAGGAAGTCAATATGACATTCTCAAAAAAACACAGAACTTCAATACTATATTTTGAAGATGGAAAAAATGGAACTGAAAAATTGATCATAAGACTACACAGAAGTAACCAGAAGCAAATGCAAGAACTACTCAAATTGATACAGGACATCAAATAAAATTTCTCCCATGAAATTAGATTTTTTTTTTTTTTTTTTTTTTTTTTGACAGGCAGAGTGGACAGTGAGAGAGAGAGAGACAGAGAGAAAGGTCTTCCTTTGCCGTTGGTTCACCCTCCAATGGCCGCCGCGGCCGGCGCTATGCAGCCGTCGCACCGCGCTGATCCGATGGCAGGAGCCAGGAGCCAGGAGCCAGGTGCTTTTCCTGGTCTCCCATGGGGTGCAGGGCCCAAGCACCTGGGCCATCCTCCACTGCACTCCCTGGCCACAGCAGAGGGCTGGCCTGGAAGAGGGGCAACCGGGACAGAATCCGGCGCCCCGACCGGGACTAGAACCCGGTGTGCCGGCGCCGCTAGGCGGAGGATTAGCCTAGTGAGCCGCGGCGCAGGCCAGAAATTAGATCTTAAAGAGAAATCAAAATGAAATAAAAACTGCAGTGGAGAGCCTTAACAACAGAATTGGTAAAGCAGAAGAAAGAATATTGGAGTTAAAAGACAAAGCACACAAAGTATACAGTCAAACCAAAGACAAGAAGAGGAAATTAGAAATCTAAAAAACACTGTTGGTAATCTGCAGGATACTATAAAATGACCCAACATACAAGTTCTAGGAGTTTCTGAAGGCGTGGAAAGAAAGGAAGGATTAGAAGTCCCTTTTAGTGAAATAACAGAAAACTTCCCAAAGTTGGAGAAAGAAAGGGACATCCAAGTTACAGGAAGCACATAGAAGTCCTAATACACATGACCACAAAAGATCTTCGCCACAACACATTGTAATCAAACTCCACAGTAAAACATAAAGAGAAGATTCTAAAATGTGCAGGAAAGAAACACCAGATTACTCTCAGAGGATCCCCAATTAGACTCATGGCAGACTTCTCATCAGAAACCCTATAAGCTAGGAGGGAATGGAGAGATATAGTCCAACTCTTAAGAGAAAAAACTGTCAACCCAGAATACTATACCATGCAAAGCTCTCATTTATAAATGAAGGTCAAACTAAGGCCTTATATAACAAACAGAAGTTGAAAGAATTTGTCACCACCCATCCAGCCCTACAAAGAATGCTTAAGGATGTGTTGCATACAGAAACATGGTCATCACTACAAAAGAAGGTAAAGAAAAAAAAATCTCTCAGTAAAAGTTCAAAGGAAATTCAAAGTTAAAAAATAGGACTATTTTTGGAAAAATGGCAGGGCAAAGTCATTACTCATCAACAGTCCAAAACTCTCTAGTTAAAAGACACAGACTGGCAGAATGGATTAAAAAAACAAAGACCATCTCTTTGCTGCCTAAAACAAAGACAAATCACCAACAAAGATACACGCAGACTGAAAGTGAAAGGATGGAAAAAGATACTCCATGTCCAAAAAAAAAATAAAAAAAAAAAAAGAAAAAGAAAAAGAGCTGGTGTAGCCATCCTAATATCAGACAAAATAGACAAATAGACTTTAACACGAAAACATTAAGAGACAAAGAAGGGCACTACTGGCCGACACCACGACTCACTAGGCTAATCCTCTGCATGCAGCGGAGGCACATCGGATTCTAGTCCCGCTCAGGGTGCCGGATTCTATCCTGGTTGCTCCTCTTCCAGGCCAGCTCTCTGCTGTGGCCCGGGAGTGCAGTGGAGGATGGCCCAGGCCCTTGGGCCCAGCACCTGCATGAGAGACCAGGAGGAAGCACCTGGCTCCTGGCTTCGGATAGGTGCAGCGCGCTGGCCGCAACACGGCGGCCGCGGCGGCCATTGGAGGGTGA